ATCATAGTTTCATGGAAAATTATCAAATCACCCAAACGACTTCGTACCGTATTTTAATTAATTAAAACCAACATTCGTTTAATTTTTATAAATACAAATACAGATCCAAAAATTCTAAAATTTATACACGAGCATTATACAAATATTCTCAAATTTATAAAATTACCATATTATGAAAATACCCACTGGAAAGTGTCGGAATAAACATACCCATGAAAACAAAATACAATTTTCGGGCCAAATTATCAAAACTTAAAACTATGAGGGACTAAGCTGTATGTACTGAATTCATGAGGGACTGATCTGGACAATAGCCCAGCAATCTTTTGCGACAGCGTCAATTTCGTCACTAAAAGACTGCAATTTGGTCACTGAAACCAAAAACTTGCTTATACGTTACTAACTCGAGTTAATCTTATAGACTCCGATCCGTTACCTTTGGGTTGATCTTAAAATTCTTCTCCTCCTCCATATACTATCACAATCTGAGCTCCCATCACTCTCTCATCTCCTTTAATTTGCATCGGCTACTCCCTCAGCACTACCATCTCACCATTTATCATAACCAACCTCGTTATATATCCCTTCCCCGCCGACAAACACATCGCCACCACCAGCGGACCTCGCCCTCCATTCCGATCTCGCCTAGAGAAGCAGCAGCCGAAGCAAGCAGCTGCACAACTGCTCTCTGCACGTTCGCCAGCTAGTAATCAAGAAGCGAGCGTTGTCATTCGTCCGTCGCCCTTACTTCCTCTCGTTTTCGCATAGGCCCCGACACGTCTCGTTGGCCAACTCGTAGCACGACCCTCGGTACCGCCTTATCCCGCCAAGCAAATACGACCCAGGCTCGGTAATAATCTCGAACCCAAGTTTCCTTCGGACTCAAATTATGTTGTAGCTAATCGATCCGCATACGTAATGAACCGTAGCTTTGCCACAAGACGTCGGGGGCTCAAACGAGGATCAACAAGGAGTGATGAAAGGAAGGGAGACTTCAAGTTATAATAGAGGGCACCGACAGTGTTGCAGCTGCTCCATTCCTTACTTAATTTCCAATCTAAAATAGTGTGGGCATGGATGTGTTGTACGCCAGCTCATGCACAGTTAATTGATAGGAGGGGGAGCTACTCATTATGGATTTATGGAGTGCTCACGGGTATCACCGGACAAGTGAATGGAATTACAATGATTTTATTGTAATTAGTGCAATTATCATTGGGGAAGGGTGATTAGAGAAAAAGCTAGATTAAGTGTGATTTGGAGTGGGTGTAACGAGTGAGAGTGAGAGTGAGAGTGAAATTGATTCTCACTTTCTTTTATAATAATAATAATAACACTCGTTAGTGTTATTCCTAATTCATGTACGATTGCAACTCTTCGTACGTAATCGTTAATCCAACCGTTCATTTAGTATGGTTGAACCTGAACCCAAATATCGGAGTGTTACATTTCCTCCACCCTTATAAAAATTTCGTCCTCGAAATTGGAACTGTAGGGTTGGGACTAAGAGATCACCACTTGTACTGAGGTAAATCGTAATCTACTAGAATTGATTTGACTGGGATATAACATTAACCAAACTAAAGTTTAATCGGTTTGGTTAATTGGTTAACCAGATGAACCAATATAAAATCACATTATCATTGACGATGAAAATTTTTCGGTTAATGCAACAATTTGCAATTTATATAGTGAATAAAACATAACAATCAACACGTAGTTATAGTTGACCCTTAACAAAAGTACATGCAACTAAGACAATTATCTTACGATTAGTATAGAAGTATTCACCTAACAAAAATTTATGACAATGGTATGGGTTAATGAATTGTTGTGTTTGTGTAAATTGACTTAGTCTCTTAGCAATTATCATAGGCTCGAAATGACCTTCCTTTCAAGTTTTCATCCATCATAATGTATGAAATTTATCTAAATTAGGCGTCCATATGTTGTGGTCTACATTTTACATATACAAATATACACTATATGAGCAATATTGAGCTTTATATTTTATGATTCTAAAAGGGATGAACGTTAACTCTTGAGTGGTTATGCAAAGTATTAAGTATGTGCATATAATATATGTTAGATATATGACTAATTACTTAACTGGTTAATTTGGTTTGACTGGTTAGGAGTGTCTGAAACCAAACCAAACCACCTAAACCAAACAAGCTAAAAACTTTAACCAAACCAAACCAATTATCCAAATTAACCAAACCAAATTATCCAAATAGTACTGATTAAAACGGTTACCATGGTAACCAAACCATTTGAACACCCCTACTTGCAACTGTAATTGCATTGCTGTAGGCCTCAATTGCACTTTTGCAATCTTGCATATAATGCAAGTGGAAGTGAAAGCCAACATGGCTATTTTTATGGGAAGGACCGATTGTTTTCTTCTTCTTTTAAATTGTTTTCCTCTTTTTTTTACCTTTATATGTGGAATTAAATCACATATGCAATTGCAAATGAATTGCATTGATGTAGGTATAATAAAAGTAAAATGAGATGGATTGCAAAATTTTTGAGTTGGCAAAAAAAATAACAAATGCAATTGAGTTTACAATTGCATTGATGGAGATGCTCTAAATAGTTTTTTGTTTGTAAAACAATTGACCACCTTGGCAACTTGTGCATTCACCAAGTGCTTATGTGGCAAGAAATTATTTTTGAATAGCCATAATATATAGTATAGATAGATAGATAGATAGATAGATATAGATATAGATAGATAGATATAGATAGATAGATAGATAGATAGATAGATAGATAGATAGATAGATAGATAGATTTTTCAACAGTTAACTCAATAAGCAGCCGAATAGTTGATTTCTTAAAGCATTTTCTGGGTGAACATTTCTTAAGCAATTCCATTTCAGGTATTTCTATGAATTCGTGCATCATTTATTGACTAACGCTTCTAAAAAAATCTGTTTCATTCTGGAATAACGTCTATACTAGCAAAGCTTACAGAAGTCAGTTTTGAAGGTCATCGGGCCGCACCTTGAAGAGATACACAAGGTGATTCATGGCTGGCCCATAGGTAATCTGTCGGCATGACATTTATGTGGGAGCTGTGGAAAGAATAAAATGAAAGATCTTTTAGTGATAGGAAACAGACTTGGCAAGCTATTTTTCTGAATATGTACGAATTGTCTGAGATGGTTGGCTGCTGCTGGGCTGATTAGCGATCAAGACAAGAAGGATTGGACAAGGCTTTTGTTTCAAGCTTGCCCTCCTGATCGTAACCTCAGGAATGACTGGTAGTCTTTGAGCAGCATTAGCGTGTAACTTCTGCCGCAAGCTGCTGTGGTGCTTCTTTATGTTTTTCTGCTCTATTTCAACAGGCTGTTGTTGCTTTGCTTCCTCTGCCTTTGTAGCTTACGTTTTTCCTGCTTTCTTTGAGAACAATAAGGGTAGTCTAATCCATCTAGCTGTGGCCATTATCTATTTGGTTTTTCTTATGTCCTCTTTTTGGTGGTTGTTCAATCCTTGTGAGTTGAGGCTGTTGGTCGAACTTTGTTTGTTTGTTTGTTCTCTCATTGTTAATAAATTTTCATCGCCATTATAAATCGTATGACATGTTAGAAATTCGTGAACATAATGTAGTTGTGCATTAGTTTATCGAAGTCCATATACATGGCATTCTAGAGTTTCAATATGTTTTAAACAAGAGAACGTTAAAGTTTCTTTCTTTGACTTCTCACAACTTGAAGATGTCCATATTTTGAAGATGTTTGTCGTCCACGTTTGCAATGTATAAATATTCATACACCATCTATATTTCCACTAATATCAGGTTAATCGACTTCCGTAAAAAATACAGAAATGGAATACACAACAAAATAAAATTCAAATTTATGTCATGAACTAGAATTCTTCAAAATTAACCCATATTACGCTATCCGGCCAACGGGCCGGGCATTGATGCTAGTTATCTTAAATAGCATGTACCGAACTTCGAGCCATAAATCTTGAGTGCAATGGCATTTGCAGTTTGGCACGCACAACCAACCCCAATTTACCCCTCTTTTTCTTATCGCATGCATGATATAATATATGTAATATGTGGTTGGGTTGGGCCAGATCGCTGTTCCCAATTCCCATCAATCATTTACTCATAATTATGTAAAAAAAAATCATTTACTCATAATCTTCTCTTTGCTACCGGCAAAACTGTAATAAAAAGGGCTTTACATTGTTCTGGCTATCTATATTCTCTCGCTTTATACCTACGGTGACGATGAATTTCACAACGCAATTGGCATCCGACTATATTATGCTCACCTTTTACTCAACAAACAAAAGGTCGGTCCCCCTGCTGCACCCATGACCCAACCCCACTAATTTGGTACTAATTGCTGAGGCTTTGTCTTGCTTGCCAGTCTGGACTGGATCTCAGCACTTGAAGAGAAACCCAAGTATTATGAGAAAATTCTTTGGTTCTACACAGAAACTCCAACCAGTCAAGTATTAGTTTGTTATTTGTGACTTACTTTTTTTTTGTATTTAATGTTCTTAATTATGCTAAATAATTGCCAAAGGTAACACAGCCGAGTTGGTCGGGAGTGTGGTCTTTTAGGCTTGAGATGTGTGAGGTTTCAGGTTCGAACCCCGCTACACCACTTGGTGTTCCCGGAGGCACCGCGAGTGCTGGAGACGAAGTCTCCTCCTAGTATCGGATCTCCTCCTAGTATCGGATGCTAGGCCATTAAAATATATGAAATAAAGATAAACTCACTAATAGGAATCTGACATGTGGCTTGATTGAAACTTCTCATCCAACCAAGGTTAGAGCTAAAAATTTCCCCTGTTCATGGAAGAAGATGGGTTGATCAGATCAGATCTAGTGAAGTTTACTGCTAAAACAACAATAGACCCCCTACTGGCTACTACTATAAATTATAAAAGCAGATAAAGCCTTCATCTTTGATTTGGCCCACCCGGTTTGAATTTGCCCGAGTCGGTGCCATCTGATCAAGAGGGGGAAAAAAAGGAAGGAAAGGAATCATTAGATTCACTGCGAATTTGCAGCAGGAGTGGTTGGGAAAGTGTACAAAAGAATCAAGGCCAAGTTGCTAAAAGATAAGTGTGGATTATTAGTCTTTTGATAAGTAAAGATGTGGATTACTATATAAGGGTTAATCAGGCAAATATAATACCTACATCCTCCATACATCAGTGACAGGCTGTGTTGTTAGAAATCCTACACAAGTCCCAAAGATCTGCTTCCCCTTTATTATATTGTTTCTTCGTTTAGCCTTAGCCTTTTCTCCTTGGCACTTAAATACTGTTTTGACGACAGCATTTTGCTGAATGTCTGCCCCACAACCCCAATCGTCTTCAATCTTCATTGAGGCCCATTGCTTTCTACCTCAACTTGACGTGAATCAGATCAGTTTCAGCTTCAGCAGTCTGTCCAACTCCCAGCTGTGCATGAAGGGCCAACTGGGCTGACCGGCTTTTAATGTCTCTACAAAACTCTTAACTGTCACAGCTTCCAAGCAAGAAAACTGCGTCCACACTCCACTGTGAAGTGTAAACCACCCCACCTTCGCTAAAGATCAGACCCCTTCTCTCAGTGACGAAACAGAGAGCTCCTCATGATGGTCCGTTGTTTGCTTCTGCTACCACTTGTTCTAACATGGAGCTTGCTGTCCCAGTCCACCCACCAGTTGCAGCCATCACAGAGACAGGTGCTTCTTCAGCTGAGGAAGCATTTGGAGTACCCAACTCAGCTCGAAGCTTGGAACACTCCTGGAGCTGATCTCTGCTACTCGACGCCATCGAGGATGGTCAACATCTCATGCCAGGACAATTTCGTCACTGAGCTCACAATCATGGGGGATAAGCCATCATCCAACTCCAACCAGACCTTGTCTTCTACCTTCTCCATGGACTCCTTTGTCGCCACTCTCGCCAGGCTAACCAGCTTGAGGGTCCTTAGCCTCGTCTCCTTGGGCATTTGGGGTCCTCTCCCGGACAAAATCCACAGGCTGTCTTCACTCCAACACCTCGATTTAAGCTCCAACCATCTCTTCGGCATTCTTCCACCCAAGATCTCGACTATGGTAAAGCTTCAAACTTTAATTCTCGACGACAATTTCTTCAACCATACGGCACTATCCACCTCCTTATTTGATCCCCCGCTCTCCAATCTCACGGTTTTGAGCTTGAGGAACAATAAATTCAGGGGTCTGTTGTTAGGGAACAGCCTTGAAGCTTTAACCAAGCTTCAAGTGCTGGATTTGAGTGTTAACAGCTTCGATTCTGATCTGCCGTTGCTGCCCAAGGGAATACTTATGGCCATTTTGAGCAACAACTCGTTTCAAGGCAAGATTCCCCGGCAGTACAGCCAGCTGACTCAGCTTCAGCACCTTGATGTGTCCTTCAACGAGATAGTTGGAGAGGTTCCTGCTTCTGTTGTTTCACTGTCGAACATCCGGTTCCTGAACTTGGGATCAAACATGCTGAGTGGTCCCATCCCAAACAGTCTTAGATGTGGACAAAACCTTCAATTTGTGGACATCTCGAATAACAGGTTAACTGGTGGATTGCCTTCTTCTTCTTGCTTGGTAACTACTGGTTCGGAGAAGAGTAGATTGGTGAAGCTTGGTGGGAATTGCTTGTCCAGTTCCTTGGATCGCCAACAATATCCACAATCGTATTGCATGGAGCTTCCAGTTGCTGTGGCCAGGGAGCAATCTCAAGGGAGAAGAAGTAGAAGCGTGGGAGTAATAGTTGGGGTGGTGGCTGCAGTTGTTGCTATGGTTGCACTTCTGGGTTTGGGTTTTGTCGTTGTTGGGAGGAAGTACTGTTTCAGAGAGGTTTCTGAGCGGCATCTGTTGCACAAGGTAGGAGTGCAAGATAACCCGCCTGTTGCTTCTGGGTTCTCCCCTGAGCTACTCTCCACTGCAAGTAAGTATAGTCACTGTGTGAGAGAGAAATGCATTGTAATGGATGCCTTCTACTTGACATGCATGCTAACCATTAACTTCATGTTGGTGTTTCTTTCAGGGTTCATTACTGAAGTTTCCAAAGTGGGTGGTAGTCAAGGTCTTCCAGCTTGCAGGTCATTTGGTACACAAGAGTTGAAGAAAGCTACCAACAACTTTGACAGCTCTACCTTTCTGGGTCAAGGTTATTATGGAAAGGTAATCCTTTTTTTCATTTGGCAAAAGGAACTCAGAACTTGATGATTCTAAATAACTTTGAGATTCTCCCTTACCCTTTGTTGATCAGCTATACAAAGGAAGGTTGGAAGATGGAACCCAAGTGGTAATAAGGTGCTTGCCTACATCAAAGAAGTACACAACTCGAAACCTTAAGCTGAGGCTGGATTTACTGGCGAAACTTCGTCATCCACATCTGGTCTGCCTTCTGGGGCACTGCATTGACAATGGAGGAAGCCAAGATGATTATAGAGTTGACCAAGTCTTCCTTGTATATGAACATATTTCCAACGGGAATCTGCAGACTCATCTCTTTGGTAAGTAACACTCTAAACGTGCAGGCAGAAAAAAAGAGCTTCTGACCTTGTAAAACTTAAACTGAGGTCATGCGGTGATGTAATTGAGCATTGATTCTGGTTTTTGTTGGCTGCAGAAGAAAGCCCAGGAAAGGCACTGAATTGGTCTGAGAGATTAGCAGCGGTCATTGGTGTGGCTAAGGCTGTCCACTTTCTGCATACTGGTGTTATTCCTGGATTTTTCAACAACCGGTTGAAGACGCATAATATCCTTGTCAATGAGCATGGAATGGCCAAGTTGGGTGATTATGGACTGTCAATTGTAACAGATGAGCCCAGGAGTTCCATGGTAAGACATTTTCTCAGTTGTTGATGAGAAGGCTCTGCACTCTGTAGCAGTTGTTTTTCAGTCTCCCACTCTAGCATTATGAAGTTGACAATAAACCCTGGGTTCCTTTGGTTGCAGGATAATGAAGGACTTGGTTCCTGGTAAAGATTCCTTTGAATTAACTCATGCTAAGAACTTTAGAACCACATTATAGGCGATCTATGAAACACATATTGAACTGTTCTCCCATTTATCAATGTTGTTTAACTGCAGGCAGACGTCGAAAGATGAAGACGACATCCATGGCTTCGGGTTCATACTCCTTCAATCACTTACTAGCAATTCGGTATCTGCGGAGAGGGACGAGTTCCTGGCACAAAAATTGGTATATCCCCCTGAAACTATGAAACCGAAATCACACGTCTATAGTTACCAACGATTTGCAGTCTCTCAAGCTAGTATTGGTGTATGTGTTCTTCAGGCATCTTGTACCAGCCAAGAAAGCAGAGCAAAGTTGATAAACCCAACGGTACTTGCAACTGCCTCACAAGAATCATTGGCAACTGTGATATCCATAACAGACAAATGCATCAGTCCTGAATCGGCATCATGCCGGCCCTCCTTTGAGGACATACTATGGAACTTGCAGTATGCAGCTCAGGTTCAAGCTACTTCAGATGAACAGAGACCTGCTGATCTTGTATCATAATTGCTGCTTCTTTAAATAAACTCTTTTCTATTGATATTCTCGTGGCAGGAATAGCACCAACACTACCTCTTGTATTTGTTCAGTTTTTATCCCTCTGTTATCATTTGGTATTAGTCATAATAATTATTATAAATAATAAAGATAAGCGAAGCCAATCAACGCTTACTCAACCAACTTTCTGCAGTTTTGCTGAACGAACGAACTTTTGCAAACTTGCCATTCAGTAGTAGTTTCTGTTAACATCACAGGGCATAATGCAGTTTGAGTAACTAACAGTGTGAAGAGAATACTGACAACTGGTTATGGTAGTTGCTAGTAGAATAGGTGGATGAGTAGCAAAATTTCCATCTCGTAATTGAGTTTGCGGTGGCTAACTAGCTGCTATACACATTACTTTGCATTTACAAACCATATGGTGCCTGCCTCCATCCGAAAGATGGGTTTATGGGGAGAGATTCTACCGCAGAAAAGGGGGAGCAATGAGCTTCTTGTTGGAAGAGTGTACAGCATTTAGTTCCTCTAGGTGTAGCGCAGCCAACAGTCCTTGCCAAGTATCCCTTGGTGCAGTGCTCACTTGGAAGTCAAGAAGCCTTTTCTCCTTCTGGTAATAAGCTTCAAGTGGCTTGCTCTGGCAAAACACCGAAATTGGAATGTTAAAACAAAACTCAGCTGTCACTGTATGTCCTGGACCGCAACTTCTTGACATAAATTTATGCACGAAAAGAACAGCAGAGAATGGTAATGTGGTTAACCCTAACATGGAAACAAAGTAGAGAAATCACGGTCAGGTTGAGGGGTCTCTACGTTATTTCCTATTACACAAATTTTATGGAAGATACAGTTTAGCAATGTTCTCCGTCTCACGACAAGAATTTCACTATCAATCAGCAAGAAGATTGAAAGAAATCATCAATCAAGCTCAAGACATCTTATGGTCATCTCTATTTATGTTAATCTCTGAGAAGAAGAGAGAATTGCCAGACCATTTCCGAACTCTCTTTGTTTTGGTTATTCCTAGTGATGATCTTGTAGAAGTAGTTGGGATTAAACGATGATAAAAATGTTTGTTTAAAATGCAGCTAATGCAATCGACCTACATAGACGATACCAAACATAAGATAATCAAAACAGATTTCTACTTTATGTAATTAAAAGACAGGAGAACGAGCAATACCTGTTCAAAGTGTTCTTTCAGCTTGTCCTTCCAGGGCCCTGCAACAGAATGGAACATTGGGGTCAACTTGGCATGAAGAGCCTTTAGCAGGAATAGAATTCATACATAAGAAAAAAATGGCAGGAAAAAAAGAAGAAGAAGATAAGTACCTTCTTGATGTTTTTCCAAGTACTCATCAGAACATTTAAAATTAACAACCAAATCAATTTCAACAAGTTCATCAAGGATTTCCTGCGCAGTGTTTTTAAAAACAAGGTTAAAGCTGCTAGTAAAACTTATAATAGCAGATGCCAAGTTAAGTTGCAATAGAAAATTTACAAGTATCAAACTCAACCGCTAAGGACGAGACTGAACTCAACTAGCACAAGCCAAGACTGATTTGGTCTTTGAATTCAGCGGCAATCAGACTAGCAAATAGTTGCACCAATCATTCAAAACTTGGTTGAATTAAGTATAGAATCAGGACTCACAGCTTGAAGTCGGGTACGAGGAATTCCATCCAGAACGAAACCAGTTTCACCTCTGTAGTATCCTTCTTCCAACCTTTTAGAAAGCAGTCCAAAAATTATGTCCTCTGGAACACATTCCCCACGATTCACAGCATTGGCAATCTACATCCACGAAAGAAGCCATAAAAAGGCTGCCTTCCACACACATTTTTCCAACAGATCAAAAGAAGATAACAAATGAAGTAGCAGAAACTAGACAACCCTAACTCAGAAACCAGCAGGGACAGCTAAACAGACATTTCGATTCACCCTTGATAAAGCTAGTTACCGCCAATCATCAACCTTGATCCAGACCATTTCTAATTCTAACTACAATTCTTCTTCCGTGACTCAGATTCAAGAACCAATTTCGTGATTGAATCAGCACGAAATCGTGACTTTTCAAGACTCTTTAGGCACGACGATCTGAAGCACGTTTTGGAACAGGTAAACAAGAGGACTACTAAACAATTCCACTCGGGGAAAGGAAAGAAGAACATCCAGAACTGCGAACCTGTCTATAGACAGAGGAGCGAGGATTGAGCTCTTGGCTGACGAGAATCGCCATTGAAATGTAAGGAACTTGCAGAAGCCTTGAGAGTTGAGATGGTCTGCGCGTACACCCGCTTCTTGGCGAGCGGACATCCAATGAACGCCCACTGTACTCCCCGCAGCTGAACCGAGCTGTCTGTATCAGCCACCGGAACCGGACAAACGGAATCCCGTCGAGTCTCGCCGTAGCTGCCGGTGGCGCTGTAACCCCAGTACTCAGGGTCGAGCTGAGGCTGGGGTGCCCCGGCGGTTGAGTAGGATCGGGGCAGAGCAAGCCTCGCTAGCCGGTGGAACGATGGCGCCGCCGACGCGACAGCGACCATAGCGTTCCGTCGCAACAGTGCGCTCATAGCCATAGTGACCGCCTGGAAATCAAAGCTTCTGTTAGCTAATTGGAGGAGAGAAGAGAAGTGGTATGCGTCCAATGTCGGCTCTTTTTGAGGGAGGACGTGGAAATTTCATAATTGCTGAGGGCCGAGTGGCGATCGTTTTGGTTTGAGTTTCGCTCTTACTCGAGCGCCATTGGATTTGCTTGCCGCGTGGACCTGTAATCGTGCCGGTCACGGGCTCTCAGTTCCTTTTTCAACTTTGTGGTGGTCCTAGTTTCGTGATATTTTCTTTCGATTTATATATTTACTAACATGCTGCGCCTTGTCGTGGGCGGAGATGATCTATACAATAAATAAAAGCCGAATAGAAAAACAGCAGGCCCCATTTCAAATTTCCTGGATGGAGAGCGTTTGTAGGGGGTAGTTTGGGAAAGGTGGATTTTTTTCGCTACCTCTTCTGCGCGGTCGTAGAGGACAGTTCCAAAGAAAAACCGGCTTTGCACCTGGCTTCAACTTGAACGGGCCCAAAAACTAATTCGGCCCAGTAACACACAACTACCCCACGTCGTGCAAAGCTTTCCACCTGCCACCACTCTGTCTCGCCTCACAGGTGGTTATCTCCTCCCCTCGCACCTCCCGTCACGTACAAGGAATCTTCAAACTGTACGACCTACGAACACCACGTTCAATCATCCTCATCTCAAACCTATTCCCTCGATCGTAGAAAGAACACAAACCGCTGGGGTATTGCTTCTTCAATTGCAGGAGCAACAACTGTTCTTGCGGGGCGGTCATGAAGCAAGCCCACCAGTTGTGGTGATCCGAACTTTTAGCCTCCGATTGAAGAAATAGTTGTGGGTAGAGGTATGACACTCATAAAGGTAATTCCTTCCTGCTGTGAAACATGTATTGGGTTTCCTGTTCTTGCTATCGTAGCAAAGTTTCCTAATCTATGTTTTGTTTTTGACTGGCTTGCTAATGACGGTAGGCATTGATTGTTTTGTTCTCAGTGGAAGGAGAATCACCTCAAATGGACAAAGGGATCTCGACCAAGTTGCTGGACGGATTATTGTTGCCCCTTGATTGATTAGGTGGCGGGTATCATCAATTGCTTCTTCTTTACTACTGTTTGCAGGTTTGTTATGAAGCAAAAAATTATTTTTCTCAGATTTTGCCGAATGGTTTATGTCAAGACTCAGAAGGTTAGCATGAATTCGGGGTTCCATGTTTAGTTCAAGTGCTCTGTATGGTGTCTGCACTAATATTTCGGCCGGGTAACAATGCTGTGGAATCCTCTTCTCTTACATAAGGGGACTATTTCAATACACCTGATTATATTTATATGAAGTAATTTATTATATTTAGATGAAGTAACTGATTTTTTGTGTTTGTTGTTTGGAACAACAGGTCGGTGAATTTGGATCTTCAATTGTTGTTTCTGGTCCTCTATTGATGTAGTTATACACACCCAGTTATATTTTCTTCCATTATGGATACAAGTACATTTGAGTGTGGCGAGTCATCTGTTCATCTCTCATCTGATCCGAATACTGTATTTAAACGTGAGTCTCATAATGGTTGTACGCTCACAAAGGACCAAAATTTTCCTTCCTCATCAGGTCAATGATTTGTGTTTTTCTTATTCTTCAGGTACAAGGGTTAGAAGTATGCATGTGACTGCATCACTCAATAAACGGGTCATGGACTCGTTGCATCCGTGTATGTAGAGTGGCATCTATGAGACTGTAGTTAGTGTTGCAATATAAATACAATAGTTCACTAAATTTTATCTATCTCAGGGAAATGTCGGGCATTATTTTACGATCCAGAAGATGAGGGACATCGCTTTCTCCTATCCGCCGAGGAAGAAGCAATGTTTGAAAAGGGTATGGATGAATACATACTCCATTAACAATTTATGTTTTATCATTAAATGTATAATGTAAAATTTGTTGTTAATTGTAATATGTAGAACAAGATGAGTTGAAAGGTGAACTGAATTCCCTGTCCAGATCCCTGTCACAACTGGCACGGCAACGGAGACATGTCATTTTAAAAGGGAAGAGAAGTCGTAGGTCATTCAATGTCCGGGATAAACATATGCAGCAATTTAGTGGTCGGTGTTTGTTGTTACTTTATAATCTAAAATGCAATTATATTAGACTAATTTTCATTATATTTCTAATGTCTTAGGTCCTTCGGGGTTGGAGAATGAGTTTGTTAATCTATTGACTAAACGGAATAGACTGTACCGGCGTATTCATTTGGCAGAGAAGCGTCGACGCCAAGCCGTCTTAAAAAATCGGTCCAATCACAGTATGTGTTGTATATGGGCAAATCTCCGAGTTTGTTTACGTTATTTTTATGTATTTTTTGTGAATTGCACATTTTTTCATATGTTGTAGATAAATATAATATGACTACCAATTGTTTTATCTTTTGCATTATGTATTTATTTAAGGTTCAATGTATATTTGGCATAATCGAAGGGCAAACATATAATATTTGTTTGGTCATTGTAATTGTTGTAGCACAATGTATCATCGTAGTGGTTTCCATTTTAGTATATGTGTGCATTAGCATTTTGGATCTCAATATTTTTGACATTAGCTTTTTTTTTTCTTACTGTTTTGAAAATGAATGTCTATTAATTAGTTTTTCTGTAGGTATATCGTGTTTAAATTATACGAGGGAGTGTAATTAATTATGTACTCCCATTTTAGGGGAAGTTTTTTCTTTATAATTGTTCTTATCTTATATAGCCTGGTTCTCAGACTAATTTATGTGGAGTAGACTTTATCAATTTTTTTTTCTTCGTATATAGACCTTTTCTAATATGTATCATCATGATATTCGCATGATGCCATAAGTTACGATTTTGACTAAATATTTATACTGTTATAGGTATTCAATAATTGAGTCTTTCAATATTGGAGCTCCCTCATGTAGATGTCAACATTGTGGTGCTGTATTTTGGCGTTATGAGAGCACTTTGGCCACACGGAATGATTTGTTTCATTCATTTCCAATATGTTGTAAGCATGGTAAGGTGAAGCTTCCTAATCGTAGAGATCCTCCTCAATTTCTCAAGACTTTATTGGAAGGTGATACTGCTGAGAGCCGTCATTTTCGTGCAAACAGTCGAGGTTATAATGCTGTATTTTGTTTTATTTCCATCTGCGGAAAAGTGAATCACTCCATTAATGATGGGAAAGGTGTCTATGTGTATTCTATTGGAGGGCAAATTTATCATCGAATTGGCAGTTTGGTTCCTCCAGAAGGCGTTAGTCCAAAATTTGCACAATTATATATTCATGACTCGGATAATGAAGTACAGAATCGCTTGGACTTTTACTCATCCGATCCTGATAGAAATCCCTTACGGGCATCTATTGTTCAAGGTCTTCAACAAATGTTTGATGCTTCTAATGTTCTGGTACGTACTTTTCGTTCAGCAAGAGATAAGATAGGCCAATATGGTGTTGATGAACTGCAGGTTAAATTATTGGCCAAGCGGGAGGCTAATAGTAGGGAATATGATTTGCCCTCTGCAAATGAGATTGTAGCGTTGATTGTAGATGAAACTGGGGATGAAACATTCTCCCCTGATATAATAGTTCAGCATTGTACATCTCAGATGGAAAGAATAAGCATGTACCATCCCAGTCTAATTGTTTTGCAATATCCAATTTTATTTCCATATGGAGAAGATGGGTGGCACCCAAGTATTAGTTATGCTCAGAATTCATATGGGAAAAGTGGTTTGGAGAAAATGGTAACACAATGTGAGTATTCTAGCTATCGTCTTCAAACAAGGTGTGGTGAACCAAATTCTTTGTTGCTATCAGCAAAATTGTTTCAACAATATGTCGTTAATGCATATGCTCTAATTGAGGCTGAACGTTTGGATTGGATGCGTAACAATCAGTCCAAGTTGAGAGGCCACCATTACCAAGGGTTGGTAGAATCTTATTTGCGTGGTGATAGTGATCTGAAGTTATCTGGAAAGCCGGTTATTCTAGCTGCTACCCACACTGGAAGTCCAAGATACAAATATGAAAATTTCCAAGATGCTATGGCCATTTGCAAATGGATTGGATATCCAGATTTGTTTATCACCTTCACCTGTAATGCCAAGTGGCCTGAGATTCAGCTTATGGTTGATTTATTAGGGACTTCACTGGCCAGGATCCTAATCGTGCCGATGTTATAGCAAGAGTTTTCAAGATTAAACTAGATGAATTCATGACGGAGATCAAGGATAAAGAAATTTTTGGAAAAATACGTGCATGTATGTATCCTGCTTATAATATCTTATATGTTCTACTCTTTCTTCATTAACAATGTGATTAATTTTTCTAATTATTGTTGGTAAATTTTAACAGATGTTTTGGCAATTGAATGGCAAAAACGTGGACTCCCTCACGCACATCTACTCCTATTTAGGGGTGGTAAACGGTAATCCGGTAAACGGTTTACCGTTTTACCGAACCGGTAATCGGCGGTAAATGGTAAACCGTTTACCAGCGGTATCGGCAGCCGAGCGGGAAGTTGGGGGAGTCGGTTTACCGGACACAGTATCGGTAAATACCGACTGTAAATCGGTAATACCGATACCGAAATCCCCGCTCCCTACTCCACTAACATATAACATATACATCATTATTCACAACTATAAAATATTACATACATGATTGTAAGTAAGTATAGACCTCAAAAATATTGTAAATAAGAGTTAATAATAAATTATTAATTACAAAAATGATGAAAAAACTAAAAAAAAATCAAAATATTACAACATCACCCCACTTCCAGAAATTTGGTTCGGTAAATATTCGGTAAACTGACCGAAAAATCGCTCGAAATCGCTTCTCACGGTATTTCGGTAATACCGGTTTGTAACCGTTTACCGGTAATTCGGTAATCGGTAAACCGGTTACAAACCGGTATCGGTAATCGGTAACCAATTTGACCAACTTCGGTATACCGAAACCGGTAAATTCGGTAAACAATTTACCGTTTACCGACCGAATCCCACCCCTACTCCTATTTCTTGCGGCTGAGAATAAGCCTCATGGACCTTCAGACATTGATTCTATAATATGTACTGAAATCCCAAATCCTGATCTGGATCCTGAATTGTATACAATAGTCACGACTTCTATGATGCATGGACCATGCGGTGCCTTACGTCCCAACAATTCATGCATGAAGAATGGTAAATGTACTAAACATTACCCAAAGCAATTTTGCAGTCAGACTA